CTTTCTAGAGATTCCAACAGCCCCTTGTCATCTCTAAAGTATATCTAGATCAGATAACATCGAAACTTCCACAGTTCAAGTGACGTTAATAGACCTCGCAAAATGATCCCAGCCACCAGGTCTTAGAGTTCGCACGCCGCCAATCCGACCCATTCTGACTGAACGAACACCGAACACCGACAGCAGCTGTACTAACGAACTTGTGTAAGGTACACAGAATTTTTTGTCATCGTCGAAGACGTAACCTCATTATTTTCAGTGAGTGTCGAAGCCGTTGTCAGCGCTGTCACATTTCACAAGTTGCCTCAATCACCAGCCCAGTAAGAAGATAAACGCGCCGAAAGGCGTCGTCGAACGTAATTGATTTCGTAAAGACCTTTCATGAAGCCGTTCAACCGGACGACAACGACCTGAAAACAAACTGAAAACGTTTTCAGCAAACACATGCTGGATGCCTCGTTGGAAGCGATAGGAATTAACGCGTATATGTAAATATTATTACAACGCCACTGCACGACCACGCTTCCTAAATGCCCGCATAACGCTGCCGAACAGCCTTCCTGCTGCTAACAGCATATGCGAATTTCAAATTTCGTTTTGCAACTTCACTTTATTACCGACGATCCGTCGTATATTTCAAGAATTTCTCTTTGTCCTCGCTTGCTTGTTGTTACCTGCGTCACGCTCCCGGAAAGAGAGGCGACACGAATGATCCGGGCGGCCTCGCGACGCAAAAATTACTTTTGGATTTAACCCTCCGGAGCACGTCGAGTTCGCGCCGTAAAAAATAAATGACGCGTTAAAAATGGAGTGCGACTTTTCGAAACAACCGAGTAGGACTTGTACGAGGCAGGAAACAGGAGTAGGGAATGCTCCAGCGAAAATTGGGAGCATAAAGCGGACCTTAAACTTTTAGTATGCCACTGTCGAGGATGCGTTTATTTGGGTGCAGCTTTCAGCCTCGTTAAGCATAGAATGCGAACTAGATAAAATCTCGAGACGGACCAAATGAATACATACATACTCACTCTGCACATACATAATCTATATTTCTGGATCTACTACTTACAGAAGTTGTTCTATCTGATAAATTAGTATTTTCGGATGCTTTTATAATTCAGTATGTAATGTGTAGTACCCTTCACGATGAAAATTATTTCTAAAATGCTGTAGTCTTTTATTAAAAAAATCAAATTGTTATGCATACAAGGAACTGGGCATACTTTTGACAATAAATTGATTTTATTTACTGTATTTTTCAGTAATTATTTGAAATTAAATATAAATTGTTATACACGCCACTGGTATTGTTTCTTGAGTTGATCTACCATAATTACTGTTCAATGAGTGACACAGAACGACTAGGATTAAGAACCAAAACAGCGGCGCACTGATAAGCAATGTCCAAAAACACGGTAAGGGTCAATCATGCATCAGCTGGTTGCCGTTATGTACGGTTCACGTTTTTCACAATGGTGCATATTTTCAATTGAGAGCGTACATGGTAATACTTTATGGTGTGGCTGATGGAAACTCCAGGTTGACTCGCGAATTGTGGATCGAGTGCTTTCCAAATCGGGCGAAAATTTACATCAGTGGTACAACATCTCCGAGATCATGGTACCTTTAAGCCTCAAACTCACGATCGTGGCCGTGATGGGACAGAACAAAATACTGCAAGCTGAAGAACAAATTTTGGAACGCGTCGAAGAAGACCCCGACATCAGCACTCGCCGATTTGCAGCATGAAACAGTTGGTTTATGGAAATCAACAGTGTCCAGAAACTATCGAAGAGCTTCAACAACGAGTGGAAGTGGCAGCCCCTACAGTTCGTGAAACTCCCGGAGTTTTTTTGTATTGCTAGCCAAGAACAACGTTTTCAACATTTATTGTATAACGATAGTAGCATTCTAAGTTGTTCTTATTTTCGTTCTAATAAACAGTGTGGAATCGTTGTGGCAAGGACATCCGTCAGAATAAAAAGTCGGTCACCATTAAGCATTGTCAAAAATCGGTCATTCTTAGGACCACCCTTTGTTTCTACAACTAATAATCTTTCGTACCGACTTTTAACGATTAAACAAGAATGGACGAATGATAAGCAGCAAAAAGTCGGTTATACTTTTAATTGAAAAAGTGTTTACATGGTTTTTATTCGAACGCTTTTCCACCTATCGTTGAAAAGGTAGATCAGTGGCATCACATCGAGGGTGGTTCATGGGGTTTTTGCCCCATTCGACTTTTAATTTTTGTTTTTTTTTATATTTCCACATCACCACGGTACGTGATGCGGTGGTTACAATTATTCCATGCAATTCAAACTCACCCTGTATAAATAATATTTTCGGGAAACTATAAAAAAATAATTTTATCTTCTACATGATATTCGTAAAACACATACAAAATTTGACAGCACTCTATCCGGTATTTTGGACACAGACGAAAGACAAACGGGCAGACAGACAGACGGAAACGACAGACTTATTTTCTCGTACTCTAGGGGTCATGAAACGTTGGGAAAACATAAAAGTAGTCAAAGTAGCTTAGGCTCCGGAAGTAAAAATAAACGCTTTAACTATTTAAATGGCAAAAATAGGAACACCTGGGACTCCATATGGTGTCAATACAAAGTTGTGAACAGTAGCGAATCTAATAAAAATTTGTCAGGATTTGTAAAGTAGTGATTACATTGTTAAGCAAGTAACAAACTCACTTCATTCATACAAAACAAATATAACAATATTGTTTTTAACTTCCATTAAAAGGAGTATCACCTCTGTTTTCGCGTCCTCAATTTAAGAGAGAGCTTCGCTTTTAAAATATAGTATCGTCCATGTTCAATGGCCGTTAAAATGCTGCAAAAAATATTTATTTTTGTATAATCTAGAGACATCGTAATGAATAATATTTATGGGCGCATGACAAGGTTCCATTGACCAAAATACGACTGAATCTCCTTTAGTATACGATATAGCATTTAGACTTTAAACACATTTATCGAAGAAAATTAAATGGCGGAAATTAGAAAATGCAAAAGTAATAAGATGTTGTGAAATTTCAAAACAAACTCATAAAACTATAAAATAAACCAGAGATAAAAGTTAACACTCTTATAAGAAATAAAGAAACGACTGCAATAAAATACATCCGTCTCTAATATTGTGTTTGTTCAAACTACACTTATTTCATTGCCAATTGATCACGTTTAATGTCAATTTTTAGGGCGTCTTCTTACATCTGTAAACTGACAAGAACACGACCTTTTTATAAATGAGTTCAATACGATTTGTATTTTTAGAGGAATGTAGTAAGGCGTCTGGCGCCAATTTTATCAGTTGATGAAACTCCAGACTAAAGGTCCGAGAGGCGCTGTCCCCTGGTGGGGAGTTAGTGAAAATGTACTACAGATCTCTATTTCGTACTACACGGGAACAATTCTTTTGTTCGACATTTTAATTACTGCTGTTGTGATGGAACTGTACTGTTTTTTTTTTTTTTCATTTTTCCGTTATGTTTTAAGTTATTTACATGCACCCAATTTTTTCAAAAATATCCGAAAAATATTCATTTTTTACAAACTATTTATCATTTCTACACAGCGATTATGTACCTACAATATTTTGTACATAATCACCAGTCAAATTGGGCCGGAATTATTAATCCGGCCCAATTTGACTGGCGTTTCTCAACATTCGCTGGACTCGAGTCGACCGAATGAATCCGTTCCCGAAGGCGGCCTCTATTTAAAGCCATACATTCCTCTGGATGGATCGCGAACGCCGCTTCGAGGTTTTTCTGGACGCCGCAATCGAGACTTCCGGTAACCCGCTCCAGGCTTGTCTTTATGCGAACGCCGCACATACTAGAAAAGCCTCGATAAACCCATAGCCGTCGTACCGGGGCGGCGTATGGGTTTATTTCGTAACAATACGTATCGGGGTCGGCTGATTACAAAACACTGACATAATTTTGTTTCTTTAATTTCCACCAAAAACTCAACAAATACAGTTTCTGGAGTTGTTTAGCTGATTTTTTAAGCTTAAAAACTCCTACTTTAGAAAACAAACAATTCCTTAAAAAAATGCATGAACCTTTAAAGTGGTCTAAAAATTAGTCAATTGCAGAACGAGAGCCACCAAATATAGATTAACAAACTGACTCTGGAAATACTTACAAAGTCAATTTCACGCTTTATACACCGCACACACATTTTATTTTCATTCAGGAACACATAACAACTGTACATCTCCACATGATCTCGATAAATTCTCTAAATGTGAAGAACACGATAACATCAACCTCAATTAATTTATACGAGTAGCTACATCGTAACTATCTTGATCTCTATTTTTCTGTAACACAAGTACAAAATTAAGTGTCAGCTTATTGCCTGCAGGCTCCTATCACGTAATATTTATCTTCCATTTAATAAAGCTATGGACATAAACAAATATAAACGCGTTCATCTTCAAACTCCAATCATACTCAATTACCTCCATCTGCATGTAATACATACATATTTCTCTGCCTTTACATCTTGCCGAACATTTTAGTTACTTCGTCTCGCTGGGTTGGAACCCACTTTTAGTAATGAATGCTAACGAATAATGATTAATTCAAGTTGAATTTTAGAAACTCGAACACTTAATGTATACATTTATTTTTAATGGAATTATTTCCCTCTGTAAAAATTGTTAACTCAAGGTTCAGTCTTGGGGCCGGTGTTTTTTCTGATTTATCTTAATGACCACACATTGCACATATCAAATGCCAAAAAAACCAAAGCCAGTATAACGAAACAAAATTTTTGCCGACGCACGTCCACCCCCTAACTCGTCACCTTCATCTGCATGCAATCCCCATTTCCGCCCTACACCCCCAATCCGCCCCTCCCCAACCAATTTTGAATCGAAAACCGTACGGTATTTAGGTCACAACACACCGTAATAGAGGGAAAACCAGAACAAAGCGCCACCCTAAACCAATTAAAATCGCTCACCATCGCTTGCGGCTTCTCTCCCTCGGCGCCATTAACATCGCCTTCATTTCCATCAACCTTCCCTTGCTCTTCTGTCAAAGTAGGAGAGGAATCGGCGGCGTCAGACGCGGCCTCACACTTGTTTTTTTTAACATCCACAACACTGGCCACTTGGTACTTGTCACTATTGTCGACCGCACCCACCGGCTGGGCGTCTTCGTAGATGTCGTCAAGTTCGTGGATCTCGCTCTCGTTGATGAGCTCTTCCAGGTACCAGGACGCCGTCGAGGAGGTCTCCTCGGAGTGGCTGTCCGCGCTGCCGCTCTTGAGCGCATTTTTGCACTTCTTTAGGTACTTCTTGACGCGCTTCGTCGTGCTCTGGCGGGTCTCGGAGGTGCGGCTGATGTCGTCCGATTTGGAGTCCTCGGCGGTTGGCTTCCACGACTCCTCGTCGTAGGTGAGGACGTGGCGGCCAGTAGGGGTCACCTAGAAAAGAAACACTGGATTAAAATAATTGGTCGAAGGTTATTTAGAGAGAATTTCCCTCGCCCTTGAAGTATAGTTCGTTTCTTTAAAAAATTATAAAATTTGTTTTTGCGATCATCTTGCGGTAACAAATGTGGACAATATCAAATATATTTAATGCCAGTAAACTACGGGAAAATATAAATACTCTCAATTTCTCAGTACATACTTAACTGTTCGTGTTAAATAACCGCATAATGTTGTTATATGATTTTGATTATTCCTGAAAAATTTTGATGCCAAGGATAAAAACTCAAACAAATTTTGTTTAACGATTTGCCATACAGACAGAAACGAGAAAGCTAATTTTTCGTACTCCAGGGGCTATGAAACGTCGAAAAAGATGAAGAAGTAAAAACAACACTGTCAAATCTTCTGTTTTATAGAAAACTTGGGGTTTCTGTAGTTTCTTTAAGTCCTCTTATATGTACCCTATTTACGTGTCATTATAGTATCGCCCGCTCCGACTTCACCGATCTTCCTAGTTCCACATCATTAACTTCTGCTTACGGCAAATTTTTCCTTTCCGACATTTTGCGTTCGATTCCCGTTTTTACCAAAGATTAAAGACTCGCCGCACTTGAGAGAATTGAAGACCAATAAAATCAACTGAAATTCGCCACCTACACCACAAAATTTATTCCATTCCAATTCTAACGTGTAATTCCTAACCGCAAAATCAAATTGGATGTTACGTAACATAGTTCCAACGATCTTTATTCTTGTGCGAATATACCGTTCGAACGGCAGATAAACGCTATATTAAGCCGGGGAAACGAAATTGATTCAAATATGAATTAATATTATTTGTTCGAACGATAACACAATCTCCAACCGCAAGTTCTGCAAATTACTATTTCGATCTGTTCAGACACTCAGATTTTGTACAACACGTTAGTTTTTCCCAATTGTGGTGCATAGTTGTTGCGAATATTGACCCTTGAGCAATGAAACTATATTATTTTCGAACAAAATTCAGCGGAAGAATTGTAACAGAGGTACACGTTAAACGCCTCACTCTCCCTAGCCGGGGCAGTACTTCCTCTCGCCGTTCTATTCTCTCGAGGAGTTCCTGACCATTATAATTCCAAGATAACTTCCACATGTAAATAACAAAACAATCGTGCCAACCAAAGCCATGAAAATTATCAGTTTCACTACATCCAAACCGATAATTTTCTGTTCAGTTGTGTACAAAGCGTTATTGTTTATGTATAATAATGTCCGGTTGTGGTGCAAGTCAACACCGGGTGCTGATCCGGAACAGAAGAAGCGAATCCCACGTCCCACTAATAGAAACGTTATAAATAGAAATCGACTTCTTGAATTAAACTGGAGAGAAACAATGGCGCATCATATCTCAGATTGTCAATATGTGTTTGCGACCTATCGGCATCGATTTATATCGATTCGAGCGTCGTTTGATCGTTTGCAACGTAAACAGTACCACCCACGTACCTAATCTCGCTGCAGACGAGATACTGTAATATTTTATAGTGTTTTTACCACGTGATGATGATAAACACGGTTTATTTTCGTTCTTATGAGTGTAGTATCAGTAATAAATTTCTTCGCAACGGCGTAAATCATCGAGGTACCGATTTCCAAAGAATCAAAAAGGAAAAAGGCGGCAACGGTATCGAGGATAGGCGAGGTCTAGGGAGTTATTGATATGTTGAGCTGAAGTGACTATATCGAGGAAAACCGTGTGTGTGTTTATGCTTGTGACAACTTTATCAACGAAGAAGTAAACAAGCAAATTATACGAGTACAGTACTCCCTACAAAATCAGTATTAGTGGTGCTGTTAAATTAAATTTTGAGGACCACAGATGGAGAAGAACAATTATTGTGTTAAAAAGGTTAGGTTAGAAAAACATGTGGAAATAGAATTATTTATACATCAAGTAGCCTATGCTTGTAAATGTTGAGATCTATATTAATTTCAAAATAAATACATAAAAAAGAAGGAATTAATAGATGCTGTGTTGGATTAGCATTTTATAATTTTGGAATAGTTATACTGACATTTTATTGGCGATTACCTCAAGCGTTATGTAAATTCTACCTACACACAAAATACTTTACTGTGATTTCCCTATAATTTATAGTTTAATTGAATACTGCAATAAAATTTTATGTAGGTGCAAACCAAACATTTTTACGATATACTGCGTGCAATAGTTAAATACATTCTTGCTCGCACTGATATTTTATTTAGTTCCAGAATTTCATATTCTATAGTCGATTTTTGGTGTAAGGTTGGTTTAAGGATTTCGACAGCACATCTAGGGATTTTTAATTTTTGATGTTAGTGATTTGACTACAGATGGGTGCTGGAGGGATTTTGAATTTCGGTTGTTGGAAGCATAAAAGACAACCACAGTGTCAGGTGCAGAATTCGAAGCTGCGCTCATTTTCCGAACATAAGGCGCGTTTGCGCATAAATATTTTTATTGTTGTGATATATGTAATTGAAAATTTATATACGTAGGTGACATTAGTAGAATTAGGATAAATTTGAATAAGGCTTGATCTTATAGAATTCCACGTGGATTCAAACAAATAAAATAGCTCTAACATAAAATCGGTTCGCTGCTTTACAAGATCCGACAACTCGGCTTATCAAGACTCCGATTGAACTCAATAGATACAAAACCAACTCTAGTTGCACCAATCGCACGCTTGTGGGGCAGTGTCATTTTCACCGGAACCGACATTTTCTTATTTCCCTAGATTAATCCGCCAAGCACCAATCCACAATTCCATTAAACCTCTATTATAAATATTAATATCGATCACAATCCGTCGACAAGCCCGTCATAATTGCTAATTAAACTATGTATCGTATTAACATAAACACTGAAATTTACTACCTAACCATTTCATAATTCTCATAACACCGCCTCTCGCAGTCCTTTTTTTCCACAATTAACTTCTTTCCAGCCCGACTGCGAGCAACTCTCACTTAGAAATCTGCACACACATTATATGCGTAACAATCGAAAAATAAACAATTCCACGGAAATTGTGTTAGACGCGTTTTATCTGTTTGCCAAACGAAACGAAACAGCAGTGACTGACATTTATCCTATTACTGTCAGTAAGTGCGAGCAGAAAAACTTCCTCGACTTCGCTTTCATTTGCTCCTCGAACGAAAGAAACGCCGCTATCTCTACGCCGGATCGGAGCTGGCGTTTGCTGCTGAAGCCGCGACTATTTCATGAGCACTTTTTGCGAAAATTCTGCTTCTTGTTCGAATCGACCGGGACTTAAAAACACGGCGGTTGTAAAATCAACGAAGCAAGATGCCGGGCACAATAGTGGTACGGTTCTCGGAAACGCAACTAGCACACACCTACTGCCCAGACGTCGTAAAAGGACGCAAAACGTGACAATGAACGCATTAATGGGAGCTAGTCGATCAATGCAACATTGGTGGCTAAAGTGTTTCTTGGGGGACTACGGGACGGTGTCTGCATCCAAACGATGCACTTCTCGGTGATCGGCCACGGAGAGAATATACTTCACATTACTAATCTGATTGACTGAACTGGCAAAATAACAGAATGGTGAGAGGTTATCAGGGGAATTTTTCACAAAATGGTGGCCGAGGACCGTATCAGGACAATAGAAGCATATAGAAGGATCAGGCAGAGTTTATTACCAGTATCTATGCCTTCCCGAAAGCTTTAAAAGTGCGATTGTTGCTACTCAACTTACCATAATTTTTATTAATTCGTCAGAGTGGGGTGCAATAAATCCACTTGTCAGGGAAAAACTTGCAAAATAACGATTTTTTGTGTCCGTCCCGAGGGGACTCACTAGAGAAAGTATAACATTTTTTTTGACAAAGTAACGTATTTTAAAGGCTGCTGATGTTTTTATTAATATCAAAATATATCATAAATTAATTCAAAATACGTCGAACGATTTTAACAGGAGTATTAGTAGAAAATTAGTGATGCAATCTTTAGCAGAGTTTTTAACAAAAAACGAACAATTATTGAAAAAATGGGTTTGAATTCGACACACTTTGAGTAGGTAGTTCACGGTCTTGCCGCTAGGAGCGCAACGATATTTAAACTTGCAGATCGAACAGTCAGACCAAAACCTTCTCAGAAGGTAATTACTACAGTTCTCGACTGATTCTTCTAATTTATGACGACGAATTCAATTTTATACAAATCGTGGGGAAGAATGAATGTTATTGTGTCGATTATTATGTTAGAAACTGGTAGATTTGGAGTTATATAATTAATATTTCTATTTCTAGTCAATGGTATATTAAGAATGTACGTACTATTTTACTATTACTACAAATTCGTTGTAATATTTTTAATATTTATTTTGCGTTGTTAACTAGGAGTATAAAACTATATAGCCATTGTTTAACACATATCAGCAGCTAAGATTACTACTAACTAATCCCACAAAGGAAGTTCAGTAAATTCAGGTTTCCATGTCAGGACAAACGTTCAGATATTTTTTAGCGACATATTTTTTTGGGAAGGGACAAACGCATATATTTTGGTTATAACCTTAAAACGTTTTCAGGAGTTCAGAGCATTCGGTTTTGCAGATAAATACGTATGTGGAAAAGAACTAATAGGTACGTAATAAATTATTAATGTGAAGTCAATGAATGAAGAAAAGCATGTAAATTAAGAACAGCATTAAAACAATAAAATAACCGGGAACATCAGATACAAACGTTATATTAATTTTTAAACATTTCATTCCGAAGTTTAGTTCAAATTGTCAATATAGGTCGATTTATAAACTTGTCACTGACGTTGCTGTTCGCCGTTGACGTTATCGTTGAAAGATAAATACGCAGCGAAGGTATCCGTTGACGTTGACGTTGACTTTGCCGTTGAAAGTTGGCAGGCCGTTGGGGTGACGTTCAAGATAACCAACTTTTAACTTTCGCCGTTACCTCGCCGTTGACGTTGCGTTTTC